ACCATGGTCAAAAGGAACCATGTGGCGTCAGCAGAGCTTCTGCGGTTGCGCAGAAGGGTGAAATCCGCCATGTTGGTGGCTTCAAAAAGATGGCGGCGAAGTTACCGAAAAATGACGAGCCGGTCCTCCAGGAATTATTATATAGCTCAGTGATCCAGCGATCTACGATCCCGCGCCTGTCGATGAGGTTTAAAACTGCGTTTCAACTTTTAAAATAAATTAAAGGATTCTTTAAATTTTTCACGATGAACAGCAAGTAATGGAGCCTAGGGGAATTCAGAAGCTCGAAATTACGTGTTTTATGAATAGCATATTTCAAAGCTTGTTGTCCTTCGACGGATCAATAAACAAGAGCCTTGTAGTCGAGGTTGATTTTTTAATTCACGCATAAATCTTATAGAGACAATTTATTAAAGGCTTTCGTCATTCTTTCAAAAATAAACACATTTCCATATTATACGGGGTTTTCCCTGTGGGTTTTCCCTACACTTAATGCAATATTGGGTTTAATAATGGGTTGTCAATAACTTTTAAAGAGGGGTTTGATTTAAAAAATAATGCCTAATCACGCAGTAATAATGGGCCACTTAATTAGTAGAAGTGTTTGTTGCCAAGAGGAAATTAAAAATTAATGCTACTTAGCCGGAGATTGTATTTAGGCGAGACTGTTTCCTAACAGCTTTAAAAGTTAAAAATACTGTTCCGCATTATTGCAGGTGTGTCACTACAGTATACAGGGCAAAAAATAGGAGCATAAAAAGACCATTAAAACACAGAAAGTACATTTGCAATATGGAATTCTTTATTCTAAAAAATCTTATCAAATTAGCCAAAGCCCTCTTTAAAATGAAGGCACATTTATGTACAGTGTATGCAAAACTATGTTTGTGATAACCAATATTCCCTCTAAACCATAGTATATTCTTTTATTCATGTTTATCACAGAAAATCCATATCTTCTGTCATGCTTAATATCCTTCTTACCAGATGATTTGTCATTATGGGAAGAGTGCTGGCACTTATTCCATTAGTTGGCAGTTATATTCTCCTTCAGATTGCATAAAATGGCATTAGACAGAGCAAATACTACAGTAGGCTAATCTGGCTATATTGCCAGTCAATGGGTTGACAAGAGACTCTGGCAGGTTGTTCTTTTCCAGTAGTAATTAACATACCATCCAATTACCACTAACATTCAGTCACTTAACATTCATACTTTGTAGCAGGTTGTAATTCATGTTAAGTATTTATTTAAGTTTATTTATAACATGATACAATATAAATTAGCTACATGACAAGAAGATATTGAAACAGAATTTTGATGACACAATACATACACTTCAATATTTTTCCCTTAATTTACGGGTTTTTGTAGCTAATTCATAAAATTTATAAATAAACTTAAATACTAATATACCAATACTGTTCCCAAATGGTTGGATCTGCTGGATTAGTTCAATTTATTTAAGGTTAATTAATGATACTATATATTCCACTATATATAGTATCATTAATTAACCTTTAATAAATTATATATATGCAGTATATATATATATATATATTATATAATATATATATATATATATATATATATTTAGTAAATATTTATAGTATCATACTAACTCTCCTGACGAAGGCCCTCGATCAGGTCGAAACGTCGAGAAGTGTTTTCTCTATTTTGGCAGTTGTTATACCACATTTGTTGCTAAGTTGTTTGAAGACGCTGCCACGCTGCTCCTTGGTTTCATTGGAATTTATATATATATATATATATATTATATATATATATAATATATATAATATATATTAATATATATATATATATAAATATAAATATAAAAGTTCTATTAGCGTATCCAGAGTGCTCAATACCGTTAAGTAGAGCGAAATAAAACAAGTAAAAGACACGGTTTTCTGTTGTTTATAGCATACAGTTCTGTTTCGTACAGGACTAGCCTGCACTCCTCAGTGCTATACCAAAGTTATTAACCTAATTAATAACTTTGGTATAGCACTGAGGAGTGCAGGCTAGTCCTGTACGAAACAGAACTGTATGCTATAAACAACAGAAAACCGTGTCTTTTACTTGTTTTATATATATATATATATATATATATATATATATATATATATATATATATATATATATATATATTGAGAATATTACAACTTGTATTTACTCCTGGGGTTCCGAGTTTAGTATCTTCCACCTAAATCAAATTTTAGTCTTCCTTCCCTCCGCAAATTTGCAGAACAAATTAAACAATTTTCGACAAATTAACGACATTTTTGGACCAGGAACTGGTCCCTAACCGCTGCTAATCTTGTTGTTGTTAGGGGGCGACGCTCTTTAAAAAACCCTAAGGCTCTATCATTACTTGTTTGATCGGAATGAAACTTGGCACAATTATTCTAAGCATTATTCCGCATCGATTGACGGAGTTCGAATTTTTACTTTTGACCTTTGAAGCAAGTTACAAGCAATTCTTGATATATTTGCAGCAAATAATATATACATATCATTAATATTCAGCCTATATATAAGTAAACGGAAACGATTAGAAATACATTGTCCTCTCCATTGTTATAAATACAATGCAGTTCAGAAATTAAACTCGGTTACGCAGTTCCTGGTCCCTATAGTACGATCGTATGGCGTTCCATCGCCGCCAAAAATCAATGTTTATACTCAATGTTCAATATTTCGTCACAACATGTAATTTCATCACTCAACTTTCAACAACGCACGCTCGAATGTCTTGTCTTTTGTTCGAATAATGTATTTTGTAAACGTCGACATTCGAGTCCACCCAAATGAATGTTTAACTTCGAAAAACGCAACTGTGAACATGGAAAGTCCGCAAAACGTAACAATGAAGCTCACGTAATTCAACTTTCAATTGTGAACTCAACAACCTTGTTATAAAACGGCTGTTTTCGAATTTCTTTATCTACCAGTAAAAGAAAAGTTGCAATTGCTAACGTAGAACGTTGCGATTTGCAATGTTGCATATTCACGCCTGCGAAACGTACCAAGACCGCCAAAAAGTATCGGGTGTTACGGTGACGTCATACATGTCACACGTGCGATTAGGCCATGCGTTGCATTCAGCGTGCGCCATGTGTTAAAACTATTAGCCCACTGGCGAAAACCCAACGTTTTTGTACTCGAAGGCATTTTATATTTTAAGCATGGAACAAGAACTGAAATCGGTCAAGGACACTTTACTGCGTGTTGCTACCCGATTAGAGAGAATTGAATCTCCTCAGGGACTAGGTATGTGAAATATAACATTGAATATTCATGACTTTCACTGCGCTATTTAAATTTATACGATATATCTGTAGGAGATCTATATCTGTATTTAAAATCTTAAGCAATCGAGTCAGACTAGCATATACCGAACGTTTTGCATACCGGGCTTCGTGTTGACATTGAAACGTTTTATTGATAATAAGGGAATTCTCCTATCCCACATGTATAAAAATTCCTCTGTTCTGTGTAAGAGACTACAAAATAGCACTTTCATATGTAGGTTTGAGGTTTTTCTTATGAAAGTTATTGGATCAAGGTACCTGATAATAACCACACTGGTAGTAATAGAAGTAAACTATAATGTGGGGTGAATCTTATACCAGTGGGATTTCATAAATTTGAACAAGGTTAAAAGTAATTAACTTATGGGGTAGGATTCCAAATGGCCTTAGAAGTACAATTTTTGTGTGTATTTATTTGCCAGCATATTATTAACTAAGATGAAGCCAGTTGTATGGCTTACCTAATTAAATTTTTTTTAGGATCTGTAAAGGGATTTTTTTAATCCTTCCAGCTTGACCCTTATAAAAGTATAACGTCTATTGTGTATCAATTAATACAATATTTAATGCCAAAGGATTTTTAAAATCAGTCAATGGGTAAAACATAGAAGATATTGTGTCTCATTTATCTCACATATCTCTGACAATATGTATGCAATTATCAATACATCCACATTTTTGGCAAAAAATGATAATTAGATTGACTAATACAGTTGTATATATCAAATATACCAAAGGATTGGGGTCTAATCAGCAACAACAAGTGGCAGGACCAGCAATTTCCCATTCTCAGTCCAGCAGACAAGGATTAACACCTACTCAGACTCATTCCAGCAGCCCCGGACGATCAGGTACTCACCTACAGGCAACCAGGCCAGAACCATCACAACCAAACAGTGCAGGTATTTCAAGACAGCCTGCCAGTTCATCATCCATGAATATGGGACAGGTGAGACAAGTCAGTGAGCACAAGCGTCTATTCTCCTTTCCTAATGGCACTGGAAGACAGAAAGCTAGCAGGAAAGGTAAAGAGAGAAAACAGCCAACGTGCACACTTAAATTTGTTGCACTCTCTGAAGTCAATGCATTAAAACCTCCAACCAAAGTGCGTGATCGAACAGTGTTATTGAATGCAGGTCTTGGCGAATCATCCATTCAATTTTCTCTCGACATGAATAGTGTCCAATGTCATGAACGAATTTTGGAAAGATTTCCCAAATTCAAACCCACTGGCTACGAGATGCTTTTGTACCAACGTGGGGAAGATTCAGGCTTTTTTAAGATAGAAGGTGCTCAGACACCTCGATACCTAAGGGATGCAGCTGGTGCCTCCAAAATTTACCTTCGACCATTTCAAAAGGACCTAGACTTAAGGGATGAAGAAACCGAGGATGATTTACAGGTATCCACTTAGTGAGATTTTTTTAATTATATTAATTCTAGGTGTGATGAAGGAAAAAATATATTCAGCCTGAAAGTGTATGTTGAATGAAGAAATGAGAAAAGCATTGAAAATGGAAATTGTAGAGGTGGATCTACATTTCACCAGAATACATTGCTTAAAAAATTTATTGATTCATGATTTGTAAAGTTTTAACACGACACAGGAAATAGCACAGGAAATATTTGTCTGTTTTATATTTTCCTTTCAAATACTGGTAATGTTAATTTGCTCTCTAAACAATTCCTGAATTTCTGTGTCCAGGTAAAAATATATGCATTCCATTATGGTTAATTTTTTTTGTTGAAGGGTTGCGTGGATGTTCCTCAAGTTGATTGTATTGAATGTGGCCTATCAATTCCAATGATAAATATGAAGGATCACATTGCCGAAGCTCACCCATCAGAAAGACGTCCTGTTAAAGTATGTATATACAAATATGGTAATTGTTTTTCTATAATGGGAAACCATGAATTTATGTATAAAATATTTACCTATTTAGAAACAGCGGGTTTTAGATTGGAGCGTTGTTGCTATTGGCGAAGAGGAATGTGATAGAGATAACAACAATGATGATGATGCCATACTCCCCATAGTGGAGATAACTTGTGGTTCATTCCTACCATACTATTTTACTTTTTGAACTATGTTACCTGAAAAACCTCTCTTGATACAGTTGAGCCACTGCGATAGACTCTGTGTAGCCCCTTCACCCATAGTTGCATTGGTGTAGAATTCTTTTCTGTCCTCAATGGATGATATATCCATGCATTCTTCCATGACTGTAAATGTCTATTTACCACTGGCAAGAAGACATAATGGAGGCACCACAAGTGAATCTCATTGCCTGAATCGAGCAAACCACACCTCTCCAGTTCATAAAAGGTGTTGTAAAATAACACAAGACACTCTTGAAACACATCTCTCCAGAGCCTCTCAATGCGCTGGTTGTGTGTGCTCTTTCCTGGCAAAACAAAGGAAAAGTTCTCCAAATAGCATTAGCAATAAATGAACCTTTTTATTAAAATACTTACACTTGCACATTTTCATGCCATTATAATTCAGTTGGGATTTGTAATTTAAAAACCTGTAATCATGCTTCCTCTTCCTGGCCCTCTTTGTGGATGTGATAGCATGTACCATGAAACGTCAACATTTTCTCCCCCTTTGTCCGATCGTACACGGGATGGCATACCAAACTCTTCAACAGCAGCTGTGAACAACTGGAGAACAGTATCCGCTCTATTGTTGTTTGATGCATGTATATAAACTGGTATCCTAGAGTAACCATCTATCCCACCATGAACAACAATCCTCCACCTAAATAACAGAATAAAAGAAAAAATAGTAACACATTTTTCCATTTAATTTGATTGTTTGTTATTAATTAATAGTTTGTTTGCATGATGAAATTAAAGCAATACTATTACCGTATCAATTTATGATTTCCGTCTATGTGCCACAGAGCCAATGGGGAATGTACATTGTATTTTCTTCGTTTCACAGCTTGCTTCCATCGTTGAGCAGCACCAGACGGATCAGTTCTCAAGAGTGACTGTCTGATTCTTTCTCGTTGAACTCTGTGGCCTTTGCTATAAAGAAATCCTTTCAGCATTCGAATTCCAATATTCGCATTCTCCCTTTGTGCTGACATCACCAGTATGTTTAATTCATTATCATTGACATCACTGTATGTGCCTATATAATTTGGAAGAATTATTACACAACTAACCTGCTATAGCCTTCACATACATATACATATACACATACATATATGTGTATATGTATATGTATGTATGTATATATATGTATATTTTTTCAAGTTATTTTAAAGAATTTCGAAGAAATACTACTTCATGGCCAAATAAATTTAAAGGAATTTTCGACCATGAGGAATTATAAATATCTCACGTGGAAACACTGGGTAACTTGGGTAAGTCCTACATAGAAAAAAAATAAAGAATAAAAAACTTACCACTAATACTGAGATCAAACGTTGCAAGTCTTCTTTGCACCGTCCGCTTTCCTACACCTAAAACTTCGCTCATTTCCCAAGCTGTAAATCCCTGATCTACTAAGAATGCCAACTGTTCTCTCGAAATATCAATTTTTGGTCTTCCACGACCAGTTGAGCTCGTCGTTTCAGCCTGATATTGTGCAGCATGACCGTATTCGGTCTGCATTATCCGTTCCAATTGCTGATATACTAATGTCGTTGTGTTGACAATTTCGTCAGGAATGTCCAATGTAACAAGCATTCGGTCAGGTTTATGTAATCCAACCTTAGTTTCATTACGTCTAGATCCCTTGGATTATTCAAACGGTCTATCATGTCTGCAATATCTCTTATAGCAGAAACTACATTGCTTATCGTGAAATCATCCATGCTTAATTCAATTTAAAAATATTGTAAACAACTTCGCCAAAAAAATCAGTAATTAACGCAGGCCATATAGCAGTGAAATGAAAATAACAAATAATAATATTATTTATTAGAGACACTGGCACATGTGACATGTATGACGTCACCGTAACACCCGATACTTTTTGGCGGTCTTGGTACGTTTCGCAGGCGTGAATATGCAACATTGCAAATCGCAACGTTCTACGTTAGCAATTGCAACTTTTCTTTTACTGGTAGATAAAGAAATTCGAAAACAGCCGTTTTATAACAAGGTTGTTGAGTTCACAATTGAAAGTTGAATTACGTGATTAAACATTCATTTGGGTGGACTCGAATGTCGACGTTTACAAAATACATTATTCGAACAAAAGACAAGACATTCGAGCGTGCGTTGTTGAAAGTTGAGTGATGAAATTACATGTTGTGACGAAATATTGAACATTGAGTATCAACATTGATTTTTGGCGGCGATGGAACGCCATACGATCGTACTTGTTAACCGAATTTTCTGCTGCAGAAAAAGACGGCGTTTTGCTTAGCAACTGGCTGGCCGCCATCTTGAATCAGGCCTGGTTACAACATAAGCGGCCCAAAATTGCGCGATATTTTTTCGCGCGAAATTTGTCAATGTAATGTATAGTATATAATTACATAAGGTAGGAAGCTCTTTTTTACGTTACGAAACTTACCACTTAGACTATGACAAAATACATCAAATACATTTACTGAAACTAATAAAAAAATATAGTAAACTAATCTCTGATAAATTTCCTCGCTTCTTACATGCGAATTACGATTTAAAACTACTTTCAACATGACAAAATACGGCAATATTTTTATAGTTTTTGATCAAAAATATTTCCTACGATGCGGGATGACAGTGGTCCCTGTATTCGTCATTGTTTTGAAATATTTTACATGATCCTATTGGTTGAAAAAAGTTCGTTCAAATACCTTACATTTTGTTTCTTTTTTCAACCAATAGGATCATGTAAAATATTTCAAAACAATGACGAATACAGGGACCACTGTCATCCCGCATCATACGAAATATTTTTGATCAAAAACTATAAAAATATTGCCGTATTTTGTCATGTTAAAAGTAGTTTTAAATCGTAATTCGCATGTAAGAAGCGAGAAAAATTATCAGAGATTAGTTTACTATATTTTTTTATTAGTTTCAGTAAATATATTTGATGTATTTTGTCATAGTCTAAGTGGTAAGTTTCGTAACGTAAAGAAGAGCTTCCTACCTTATGTAATTATATATTATACATTACATTGACAATCATCATACATCAAGCAATTTTGGGCCGCCTATGGTTACAAGGCAAATTCGAAAAAGTGAGCCCAAAATATTATTCTGCTAACGTGACTGGTGTTGCGAAACCGAGAGGATCGTAGATGGAGTTGATGACTGCTAAAACTCCGCGTCAGGTAAATGGTTTTTCAGGAAGAGAAATAGAGAAGGTTAACACATCTTCTTGTAGGTTCCACATGACACCCAAGGAACGTTGCGATGGGAGTGGATCTCGTTGAAGATCAAGGTTTCGAATGCTATCAAGTCGATCTTCAGGTGGGAGTGCTTTCACTACATCAACCGCGTTTGACGCAATCGTGTGTAACTTAAGATTTGCCGTTGCCAACATTGCTTGAGTGCTTTTAACAAGGTCGACGGCTTCATCAGGCTTAGAACGGGATGTGAGGCCGTCGTCAACATAGAAGTCGTTGCAAACAAAATCCCTTGCATCATGTCCAAACTCCCCCTCGCCGTCATCAGCAGTTTTCCGAAAGCCAAATGTTGCAACGGCTGGACTTGAAGTGTTGCCGAATAGATGTACAGTCATTTGATGCTCAATAATATTTTTCGTCTTATCGTTGTCCTTGAACCAAAGGAAACATAATAGATTCTGGTGTTCGGGATTAACATGGAAATTATGGAACATTTGCTCTATGCCACATGCGATGGCTACGTAGTTCTTTCTAAAACGAACGAGTAACCCCAACAAAGAATTTAGTGTATCTGGGCCAGATAAAAGTTCTTTGTTAAGCGAGACTCCATGAAATTCTGCTGACGAGTCAAACACGACGCGAATTTTGCCTGGTTTTTGCGGATGATAAACACCAAAGTGGGGTAAATACCAAACTTTCCCTGATTCGTTGGTGGTTTTGGTCAATTTACTCGGAGGTACTGGTATCGCATGTCCTCGTTGTAGGAGATTTTCCATAAATTGAAAGTAGTAGTTTTCCATGTCAGGTTTGCGTTTGAAGGTATTCAACAAATTGTCCATATGTCTAATGGCTTGGCAACGGTTATTTGGTAAGGTGACGTTGGTGTTTCGACGGGGCAATGGCATTTCCCAGTTTCCAAGTTGATTCTTTTGGATTCCCTTTTCTATATTATACTCAAAAAGCGTTGATCCTCCACGTACATACTCTGTTCGTTATCAGAATCGGTGGTTAAGAAAATATTGTAGCAGTTCTTTAAGCTTTCACGATGTTCACGTATATCAAACTTGTTTGGACAGGGGGAATATTCGTGGTGTATCATGTCTTGGAAGGAATTGGTAAGAGGATTGTTATCCACTTTGGGCTTGCCAATGCGACCGTTTGTTTCTCGACAAGATGACTCCCCATACACGGTTCGATGTGTTCGAACGTGGACAAGTCCTCCTTCACGATTGAGGCAAACTTCTCCGCAAATTGTCCAACCAATGGCCAATTTGTGTGCCCAAGGTGCCCCTTCAGGTCCGTTACGAACTTCTCGTACTTTCGTCAGTTCAGGAGAATCTCGGCCAATCAATAGCTCAACTTCGGCTTTCGTATTTAGAGGTGGGATTTCTTTGGCAATATCTTTAAGATGATCAAATTTCGCTATCAGTTCAGGAGTAGGTGTTACGCGCTTGTCTCTAGGGATATTATCACACTCAACAAGGGTGGGTAATTTAATTGATACTCCTGGCGTTGACTTTACAACCAGTCCTTGTACGCGTCAGCCGTATCGTGTTTGCAAAAAAGAGATAGTTCTTCTTTGGTGATGTATGTAAATTCATGAAGTTCCATCACAGAACATTATTATTATATATTATACTATCCTCACTAGAACTCATTGGTCGCTAGAACCACATCGGTTCTCTCAATGTGGTCCTCGCTAGAACCACATTGGTTCTTATAGTCTGTATCTTCTCCACAAGAAAGTCAGTGAACTTTATTAGCTAAACTATATGCATCGTCATAGGAAGGTAATTTGTCTTTCACTTTTCAATCTCATCGACTGTATAAAACCAGACCGCTTGGTTGTGGGCATTTCATCTATGAGTTTATCATAGAATTACATTTTAGTTTCATAAACAAGGTTATTTAATTACTACATTGCATTGCTCAACATATATTTTTCTCTGCTATCGACTGATTTATTCCTTTTAGTTTTTATCTCGGTCGTATACCATGGTGACGACGGTAAAGTAACAATTCGTTTCTTACGTTGCGCCTTTTTTTAAATAATTGAAGACAATGTATTATCATAAAGAGCGAGAGTTTCAGCAACATTGTCAATATCGTCAAAATCTATTAAGGATGATCTCTTAATGTCTGCTTTAACACATTCTTTATCCACTGCTTTATTATTACAGTATGAAATTTCTTTCTGCTGGGGAGGTGGTTTCTTAATAAACTTTACTGCAGCTGCATCATTTGGGGACTGATTTAAAAAGGGATATTAAAGTCACCGAGAATCATAATTGATTGGAAATTAATAATCCCCTGCTCCAAAAAATTGCTAAATTCTTCCAGGGAAATGCTTGTTGTCATTCCATTTCCAGCAGATGATGATGGTCTATATATAATTATGACTCTAATAGTAAAGGATGAATAATTCATCGTATAATCCGCTAATTCAAATGATCTATAGGATGTGCACCTGGGTGACTTGGTCTTCAGCTTCAAAGATTGTTTATATAGAATATCAATTCAACCTCCTCTTTTCTCGCGAGATTCAAGCTGAAACAGATATCCTGTCGTAGACATATACTATTTAATATTGTGGAATGGTTAATGGCATCTGTATTTAACCATGTCTCAGTAAGTGCCAGTATATCAATTAATATCGCTGTCCACAACAAAATCTTTAATAGTTAATGCATTATGTTTATTGATCTTGCGTTAAGTAAACAGACATCAATCATATAGGAATTGGAAATATGATTCATCGGTATACAGGGAATTCTGAATAAATTTGATCTCTTATAATTTAGTGGTTCCATTTCCAAGGTTTGGATGTAATTGGGGCATTTATCCGTGAAAATATTTTTCCGCGTCCACACGTAAACACAAAAACGGCCCGAAAACGCTAAAGTTATTTGATCCCAATACACCTTCATGTTTTCCACCCACGTGTCACAGGTTGGATGTCGAATTCAAAGCAAAAATCAACCAAATCCAAAGTAAAAAACAAGAATGAGGACTTTGTTAGGACAGGAGACAAGCACAATCTCATAAATATTGTTGTTGAGTATCTATTAAATGCATGTCGTGTATAAGAAATTGTGTATAACCATACTCCGGCATTTTGAACATTTTCTCTCGTAAAATACTTCCGCAAATGCTACAAGAATTGCCGCAGATTTTACTCACCGTAAAAATAACCTAAATAAGACTTTTTTGAGGCTAATATAGCAATATAAAGTTGAGCATAAGCCACCAGACTTAAAACAAGCCTCATTAATATGGAAACGACTTGATACGTGACGTCATCGTTTTTAAATTTATCCGGCAAAGCCGTCCACAGTCCACACGTATCCGCTCAGCCGTCGTTTTCAAATTCTTCCACTCTGGAGAGCGTTTTCAGATTCTTCCGTTTTCAGTGGGCGAAAACGCCGTATACGTGTGGACGGTACGCGTAACCGTAAAAATATGCTTGCGTTTTCAAATTCTTCCGGCTTCGTGTGGACGGGGCCTAAGTGGCGAGGGATTGGTGTTGTTCAGAGGTGCTAGAGGCTCCGCAAAGTTTAAATTCTCAGGTGGAAAAATATGGGGATAAT